TCGACGTGAACACGGACTTCTCATGATACCGAAACATGAAAGAGTTTTAGGGAGGCACCGACGTTGCTTGAATCCTACCAGACATAAGCCTTGAGGAGGCTGACCATGATGAATGAAGTAAGTTTGTAGATGTGCCACTGTTGTACTCAGACGGATAATTTGAAGCCTTGTTTTGTTAATCGACTGAGGTATTGGTAAAAGCCCACACCTTATCGATACAACCCACGTCAAGATTATCACAAGCGTCAATACCATGTTTATCACAACCTTCACCCTTGTTAACATCATCCACGTCAATAATATAGACGTCAAGATCTTAACAATATTATCCACGTAAAAATGATCACCCTCTTCAATACTATCGAAAGATATCATACTTATCAATACTATGATCCATGTCAAGATCATCATAATTAATAATACTATCCACCTCAATATCATCATACTTATCAATACTTTCCGTCTGAAGGTCATCATACTTATCAATACTATCCACCTCAAGATCATCATACTTATCAATACTATCCACCTCAAGATCATACTTATCAATACTTTCCACCTCAAGATCATCATACTTAATAATATTTTCCACCTCAAGATCATCATACTTATCAATACTATCCATCTCAAGATCATCATACTTATCAATACTATATATCTCAAGATCATCATAATTATCAATACTTTCCACCACAAGATCATCATACTTATCAATACTTTCCACCACAAGATAAACATATTTATCAATACTATCAACCTCATTATCATTATATTTATCAATACTACCCACCTAAATATCATCATATTTAGAAATACTATCCACCACAATATCATCATATTTATCAATACTATCCACCTCAATATCATTATATTTATGAATACTATCCACCTCAGGATCATCATATTTATCAATACTATCCACCTCAAGATCATCATATTTATCAATACTATCCACCTCAATATCATCATATTTATCAAATGTAAATTTGTTGTCTTTCACACTCATTTGAACCCATAGAATATCATCCCCAAGAAAATATGGAAAGAAAACGTCCATCTCTACGAAGTAATACTGAAGTTGTTGTGGCCTTAGTAACACTTCCAGACTCCAAGTGAACCCACACTCAGGTATCATTCATTCCACGCTTCAAGTTGCTGGAATAGGACATATTTCCAAGTTGAATTGTAAATATATAACGTTAATGCAAGAGAATAACCATTCTCGTTTATCCTACGAAACAGATTCTAATCGCCGTAAAATGCAGAATTGTGTTTGTTTGTTTCTTTCTTTCTTTCTTTGATAACGCCGCACTCAGCAATATTCCAGCTATATGACGATAGCCTTTAAATAATTTAATCTGGACCAGACAATCCAGTGATTGACACCATGAGCATCGATCTACGCAAGTGGATACGATGACGTGTATCAACCTAGTCAGCGTGCCTGACCACCCGGTCCCGTTAGACGCCTCTTACGACAAGCATAGTCGCCTCTTTCGGCAAGTATGGGTTGCTGAAGACGTATTCTCTTCCCGGATCTTCAAAATAGTGATGAAAATTCTATGTATGGCTCACTGATGACAACAGGCGATTACTGATATTCCCGGACTATTAATGCCATGGCTACACAATCTAACTTTTCTGATGTTGGATAGTTTACTTTTATAATCTGCCAAGAAAAGCTTTTTTTGAATATTGTGATGGACACCAATAAGCTGACAGGATTGACGGTATGCACAAAATATATACACCGCGCTTAGCGATACTCCAGCAATATTATGGCATGGGACACCACAAATGGGCTTCACACAAAGTACACATGAGGGGAATCGAACCCGGCCTTCGGCGAGAGTCTTCCTCTCCTGTTCAGCGGAACTGAACTTGTACGTGATAAACAGCGATGTTATTTTTGACGAGTGTTTGGTTTTACGTCGCTTCATCAATATTGTTTCTGTAGCACAACGTGGTTTTCATCAATGGTCGAGAGGCATTGATTCCATAAAGAGGAATCGGAAAATAGAGACTAGCACTCTGACATTCGCTAGAAATATCCACTCGTCGTAATACTAAAGAAGCGGCAGTAGTAGAGAGAGCAGCTGTCAAGTTATCATTAGTAGCAGTAGTAGTGGCGGTTACGGTAGTAACGGTCTTAGTGTTGGTGTCTGTAGTAGTAGTAGAAATAAATGCACTAATTGTGTAGTCGATTTAGTTGTAGTTGCAATAGCATTTATATCCTCAGCAGCAGCAGCAGCAGCAGCAGCAGTAGTAGTAGAAAAAGTAGTTGTATTTGTAGTATTGATGTGGTGGTGGTGGTAGTAGTAGCAGTAGCAGCGGCAATAGCAGTAGAAGTAGCAACAGTAGTAGTAGTAGCAGTACAATGTAGTAATAGTAGCAGCAGCATAGGCAATAGCATTAGTAATAGCAGTACTGGTAGTAGCAATACTCGTAATAGTACTAGCAGTAGTAGTAGTAGTAGTAGTAGTAGTAGTAGTAGTAGTAGTAGTAGTAGTAGTAGTAGTACTCTTGGCAGCAATATTAGCAGTAGCATCAGCTGCAGTAGTATAGTAGTAGTGGTGGTGGTGGTGGTGGTAGTAGTAGTGGTGGTAGTAGTTGTGAAATATGCGCAATATAAATCGCCTAGTAGTAGTAGTAGTAGTAGTAGTAGTAGTAGTAGTAGTAGTAGTAGTAGTAGTAGAAGAAGAAGATGAAGTAGTAGTTGTTGTTGTTTTATTATTATTATTATTATTATTATTATTATTATGTACAGATTAAAATAAACAAAATGCAGCAAAGAGGGTTTGGGTGATCCTGGCACAGTCAGGCTAGTTAGGCTCATCATCAGCTCAGGGCCCTTGCCCCCTCTACACGCAGCTCAGACAGCGAATTTGAATTCCCCCAGGAAGCGCTGCCTAGTCAAACCAACCGAGAACTTTCCGGAGAATATTAAGACTCTCCAACACTGCAGCCTTCTGCATTACCCAGAGTGTCAGAAGGGCTGTATTTCTGGCAGGAAACACGGGTTTTATTCCAATGTCAGACAACAGATTGGGAGGTGCTTGTAAACGATTCCTTGCGTAAAAAACTCTACATCGAGTGTTATGGTATATGGTGAATGTGGAGGTGTACAACTTTACATATTTCAACATATTAGAATTTTCAAGTATTGGTTCAAGATTCTTAAAATGCCTATTGATAGATTACCTAGAAAATGTTACAATATGATGTTATTGTATGAAAAACATGGAATCCGCAATTGGGTATATGATGTAAAGTCGTTATTAAATGATTGCGGCTATGGGTATGTTTGGCATAATGAATGTGTATCAAACAATCCAGATTCATTTTTAGTATCTTTACGCCAAAGACTTAAGGATATATACTTACAAAAATGTGCATCGCGTGTTTTAAGGTCAGAAAAATTCAATTATTACAAGCTTTAATTTCAAGACAACAATTTCCCCAGAATACTATTTGTTTGACATCACCTTTAAAGGTTTAGAATAAGTTTAGCACAATTTAGATGCAGCTCTCATAGACTTAGGATCGAAGTAGGCAGGCATAGAAACATAGACAGAGAATTGAGAATATGTGAGCAATGTGATTTATATGTGATTGAAGATGAGTTTCATTTTCTGTTAGTTTGTCCCAAATACGACCACCTTAGAAGAAACTATATTGATCTGCCTGGTTATGTACACCCCACTCTACAAACATTTACAACGATCATGTCAACAACTGATAAACATACTCTAAAAAATCTATCAATGTTCATTTTTCATGCTATGTTAATTAGAATATGACCTGTTAAACGGATCTGTAACCACTCCCGAAAACAAAATTGTACTATGGGCCTGAGGCCTTTCAGTATGGAATAAAACTTATCCTATCCTATCCTAGTAGTAGTAGTTGTTGTTGTAGTTGTAGTAGTAGTAGTAGTAGTAGTAGTAGAAGTAGTAGTAGTAGTAGTAGTAGTAGTTTACAGAATTTGATAGATCAACTGGAGCTGTACTGGTCTAATTGTAAACTCCAAGTGAACACTGAGAAAACGAAAGTGTTAATTGCTCAAAAAGGGAAATAAACTATAAAGTAGGGAAAAATGGTTCTTCAACTCACAACCGTTAAAAAGTGTCACTTCTCATAAATATCTGGGGGTAACCTTCACAGGCAGATTACCGTGGAATTACCACACCAGTAATGCAGCAATGCAGGCAAAAAAGATACTGTACCCACAGATATACTGTTGACGTCAATGCGTACATCTTTGCATTATATAAGTAAAATAATGGACACGGACAAATAAAGAATAACAGCCTGAGATGCATTGCTAGGTTTCCATCTCACCATCTCACCATCTCACCATCTCACCATCTCACAGATGTAACCCGTGGTGCTTGACGCAATTAAAGCCAGTACAACAGTAGGTAGTGCCAACATCAAACAGAACCAGCTGTGTTCAGCAGTGCTCGTTTCCTACATTGGGAAAGGGTTGAACATTCGTGTTCTCGCCTATTTATACATATATATATTTGACATACATAAGACATGACGTTGGTGGATGTTACAGCTTTTATACATACATATAAAACGTAATTAATAAACAAAATATTAAAAGTAATTTGCTGGATTAGTGTCACACCAAGACTTTATAAAAACGTAACTTTATATTGCAAAAATAAGGATTGTGTCTACAACGCCATACGCTGCGCTATAACCTCGTGAATGACAGGTCCACCAATTATATTGACCTGTTTGACGTAATGGTCAATTGTAGGGAATTCCGATCGACAGAAGTACGGAAACATTCAATATGGATCTGTGTGTTTTGGGTTGAAGGAAGACATAATTTAGAACAACTATCTGGGTCATCCTGGAGTCTTTCTGGATCCTAACTACTTTTCTATGTCTTAAAAAAAGATAAAATAGTTAAAACATTCTTTCTGGATGTTCATTCAACACTCCAGCACCAAAAAATGTACATTCAGGAAATTGTGGCTACTTACAAATGGGTAGTGTGTCGGCTGAGATTGGGTGGCACAGCAGTCAGGTTCTGGCCAATACACACCACCATGAGGTTTGACTCTGGATTCGACTCCGTGCACACACATTTCTTCGGACATGGAACGGTCGAGTTGACCACATTTGGGGGCATCTGACCTCTGCACCCCCATGGGTAGGAAGGGGGGTGGTAAAGTATCCATAACAACAGCAAGCGAAGAGTTCTCAACACCAGACACATGGTGATCGGGAATTTGCCTGGGAGGAAACGGTTAACAGTTGTGAAGTGACCGAGTTCGGGGTATTATCACGGAAAAGGAGACCGGATGTCGTCTGCCCGTAAAGCGTCGTCTGCATAAGGGGTGTGGGAAGTGTCCTGAGCCTATCACACATGGGAAGCGCACAAGAAGACATCTCGTTCCCGGGCAGGTATGGGTCAATACATTGTGATAGAAGTGGCTGGAGACTGCTTCGTTTGTTCCTTTATCTACCACCAGGGGGCGGGACTGAGATAACCTGTGAATGAGAAGATGATATTATTCAAGAGGTTACAGATATAAGAGCTAGCACAGATTAAGTACGGGAAGGTACACAACGGTCCATCATTGTAATGGCTGCTCATGGGGGAAGTCGGGCTATCACACAGATAACGAGAGCAGATTTGTGTGATATGTCAGTAGCCAATGGCATTACCTATAAAACTAACTACGAAAGTGACCTAACAACATGTCAAACTGGATTTTAAAAAGATACTATTTACACCTTATTCTCCACAGGAAATAAACCATCAGTTTCTATTTCTTTTTTGGTTACATTGGATCTCTCTCTCTCTCTCTCTCTCTCTCTCTCTCTCTCTCTCTCTCTCTCTCTCTCTCGCTCTCTCTCTCTCGATCTCTCTCTCTCTCTCTCTCTCGATCTCTCTCTCTCAATCTCTCTCTTGAACACTCTTACACACGCCCCTGCAACCAACAAATGCATGCATATCGTGTATTTAGTGAGTGACAGAGAATATAACACAGTTATGCACCTTAAGATATGTCTCTTGATTTCACACACGTTTGAAAGACATGTCTATACATCACACAAACATGAATAGATAAACAGTATGTCCTCAGATCTCACGCACATATTGATAAACAATATCACCGCATTTCTCCCGCACATATACATTTATAATGAGATAAATAATATTTATTATATACATCAGCGTGAAAGACTGAGACTTCTGTAATTGAAAAAAAGTGATATTGTCATTGCAGTGAACATAACACTTTGACGGAACTAGTGTTACCTCCCCGCACATTGTCCCCCTTTATCGTACAGTAAGTGTTAGCCCGTACACAAACTGCTGGCTTCCTTTTGCGTTAGTTCCACACTGACAAGACAAAATACAGACAGATGGTCATTTATGGAGTTAATATCGCTTCTTGCCGTTGGCCATTATCTTGAAAATGTTTTCTTATAAACTGTAAATTTCGCATTTAACTCGTCAGTGGAGACTGTAAGTTTCGCAAAGCGCCATTTTTGTGACTTAACCAACGTGTATTTTTCGCTTCCAAAAACGGACTTGTCGATTTCAAGAATATTTTTGGTTCAAGTTGATTTTGTTTATAATCATATCCAAATATGTGATAAAGAATTTTAGTGACCTCAAATATCTCTTGTTACTTTTGTTTATATTGTTTAAGATTCCGAAACACGAAACTACTTTAAGTCGCAGTTACAAGGGGTAGTGAAACGTCACTGCCTGTTAGGTAGGGATAATTTACGTTTCAAGTTTTACATTTGTAATGAAATAATTTAATTTTCCGATCGACAAGTACACAACAAGTAAAAATAAACAGGATATTCCATGTGTCGAGTGAAGTATAATGTTTATCTCATCTCGTGACGGTGGAAAGGAAATATTTTCACTCGTGAACTCATAGAGTTCCCTCAGGTATGCTTGAAATATTTGTCTTTTTAAATTGGACAGAACATCATTTACAAGCATAGCTTTTATATTTTGCTCTTTAACGCCGCACTCAGTAATATTCCAGTTATATTATGGCGGCCTGTAAATAATCGGGTCTGGTTCCACTCAATTGGGATACAATGACATTTATCAACCAAGTCATCGAGTCCGACCACCCGATGCCGTCAGTCGCCTCTTACGGCCTTCTTTCCCGAGGCAATGGAGTTAACTGACTGTGAAAGTCCAGTTTCCACCTTGCCGAATCAGGCTGGAATTTCTGGGCTCGATCGTAGTGCCACCAGTGGCTTTTACGAATTATGTCCCTTCGATGTCCCTCCTATTGACCAGTCAGATTCAACCTCTCATGTAGCTAGCAAAATGGCGGCGCCCAGTCAAGACTATCTGATTGATAATCAAAATCTACATTGTGACAAAACGGGTCTTACTTCGCGAAGTGCATCAAATCACGTGAGCATCTTTATTAAAAAGATGAAAGAATTTTGAAAATACTTGTTGGCGCCGAGTTGGCGGTACACATGATTTGTAAATCCTGCAATCGATGGAAATGTGGACGGCAGTTCGATTTCGTTACGCCATTTTGATTAGACTATGCATAGACTCGTTAGCCAAAATATGACTCCAATATTAGCCCAGTTCAGCAAGGGTGGAAAATGGACTTTTATAGTCAGTTAACTCCCCTACCTCGGGCAGATGCTTACGACAAGCATTGTCGCCTTTTACGGAACGCATGGGTTACTGAAGACCTATTCTACCCCGGATCTCCACGTGTCCAAAGCCACACGTACAAACAAGTTGAATAAGTTAATCTTCTAATTAATTTGCTAAGTTATTCATTTCGTTGCTGGAGCAGAAATCAACGATTTTTTTCATTTTATTTTTTTCTTCATGTTTCTCTTCAAATAAAGTTGGCATTGACCTTTTATATATAATGGAGTGAGTGAGTGCTTGATTGGTTGAGTGAGTGAGTTAGCCAGTGGTTTAGTTAGTGAGGAAACGACCGATGATCAATGTTAGAAGATTAATAAAACGTGGAACAACAGAAATGGACGCTACATATTGGACCAATTCTTCAGTACAGTCTTCAGCATTCATTGCTAAAATTGTCATTCATTATCAGATTGCGCTCACTCATTGACAAAGATAATGTTTGTCTCCATTCATGTTTACTTTACATCGACATGACCTCAGGCCATTTAGACCACACAAAGAGGGACCACGATTGAAGCTGTTATGAAACAGATGATTGTGATTTACGAGCAATAGCTAAGTCAAAGCTTGTGTCATATAAATGTAGGCGTCGTAATTTAGATTAATACGTCTACGGCGTTCATCTATACATATCTAACACGCGGTCATGATGACCTTTGTGACGTCTTCAGCCTTGACGGTCGGTTCATGGCGTCATGTCATGTCTAGTTTATCACTTTAATTTAATCTTTCAAAGAAGATATGAATTTGATCTGTCAAATATGTCTGTTTGGCTAAACTGGAGTATAAAAATATCATATATATTATTTGTTCGTGATGGCCTGCATTAATGCCGTCGCTGTAGACGAGTCTCGTTGGCAGTCCATCATAATAGTCCACAACAATGTCCCTTACAGTAGTCAATAATAATTTCCCTTACAGTAGTCCATCATGATGTCCCTTACAGTAGTCCATCATAAAGCCCCTTGCAGTAGTCCATCATAATGCCCCTTACAGTAGTCCATCATGATGTCCCTTACTGTAGTCCATCATAATGCCCCTTGCAGTAGTCCATCATAAAGCCCCTTGCAGTAGTCCTTCATAAAACCCCTTACAGTAGTCCTTCATAAAGCCCCTTGCAGTAGTCCATCATAATGCCCCTTACAGTAGTCCATTATAAAGCCCCTTGCAGTAGTCCTTCATAATGCCCCTTACAGTAGTCCATCATAAAGCCCCTTGCAGTAGTCCATCATAATGCCCCTTGCAGTAGTCCATCATAAAGCCCCTTGCAGTAGTCCATCATAATGCCCCTTACAGTAGTCCATCATAAAGCCCCTTACAGTAGTCCATCATAATGCCCCTTACAGTAGTCCATCATAATGCCCCTTACAGTAGTCCATCATAATGCCCCTTGCTGTAGTCCATCATAATGTCCCTTACAGTAGTCCATCATAAAGCCCCTTGCAGTAGTCCATCATAATGCCCCTTACAGTAGTCCATCATAATGCCCCTTACAGTAGTCCATCATAATGCCCCTTGCTGTAGTCCATCATAATGTCCCTTACAGTAGTCCATCATAAAGCCCCTTGCAGTAGTCCATCATAAAGCCCCTTACAGTAGTCCATCATAATGTCCCTTACAGTAGTCCATCATAATGCCCCTTACAGTAGTCCTTCATAATGTCCCTTACAGTAGTCCTTCATAAAGCCCCTTACAGTAGTCCATCATAATGCCCCTTACAGTAGTCCTTCATAATGTCCCTTGCTGTAGTCCATCATAAAGCCCCTTACAGTAGTCCTTCATAATGTCCCTTACAGTAGTCCATCATAAAGCCCCTTACAGTAGTCCTTCATAATGTCCCTTACAGTAGTCCATCATAAAGCCCCTTACTGCAGTCCATCATAAAGCCCCTTACTGTAGTCCATCATAAAGCCCCTTACAGTAGTCCTTCATAATGCCCCTTACAGTAGTCCATCATAAAGCCCCTTACAGTAGTCCTTCATAATGCCCCTTACAGTAGTCCATCATAAAGCCCCTTACAGTAGTCCTTCATAATGTCCCTTACAGTAGTCCATCATAAAGCCCCTTACAGTAGTCCTTCATAATGCCCCTTGCTGTAGTCCATCATAATGCCCCTTGCTGTAGTCCATCATAATGCCCCTTGCTGTAGTCCATCATAATGCCCCTTACAGTAGTCCATCATAATGCCCCTTGCTGTAGTCCATCATAAAGCCCCTTACAGTAGTCCATCATAATGCCCCTTACAGTAGTCCATCATAATGCCCCTTACAGTAGTCCATCATAATGCCCCTTACAGTAGTCCATCATAATGCCCCTTGCTGTAGTCCATCATAAAGCCCCTTACAGTAGTCCATCATAAAGCCCCTTACAGTAGTCCATCATAATGCCCCTTACAGTAGTCCATCATAATGCCCCTTGCTGTAGTCCATCATAAAGCCCCTTACAGTAGTCCATCATAAAGCCCCTTACAGTAGTCCTTCATAATGTCCCTTACAGTAGTCCATCATAAAGCCCCTTACAGTAGTCCTTCATAATGTCCCTTGCTGTAGTCCATCATAAGTTGTAGTTGCTGAAGACCCATTCTACCCCGGATCTTTACGGGTTAAACCTGATGAAGAAGTAAGCACATAAGTTGACATCCATAAATTCTCACTCTTATGTGCATCACTTCTAAATGGCAGCAAATGACCATTTCAGGAGTTTATAGCGATGCCATCAGATGCCCTTCACACACCAACCCGAGCAGGGTGAAAACAGACAAGTGTGTTCTTAGTTGGTCATCGAAACAATAACTGCTCAGTGTGGAAAACCAATCTCCACTTTGGACACATCC